TCCACCTCCTCATCGGGGTGTGCCGAGGTTGGTGCGTAAACCTGTATGACCTTCAGCGAATACCGTTTGGTGATTCTGAGTATAAGGTACAGGTCGCCGACACACTCCCAATCTTTACAACGTTGTTAACGAGAGACTTATGGACGATAAATCCGACACCTCGCCCTCTCGGTGATAGAACAAGTTGTCAGATTCGAGGATTACCGTGTCCTCCCCCTCTCTTCGGACTTCGGATAATCCTATGATATTCCAGCGCAACTTGTCTATCTCTTCTTCCAGCTCCAGGGTCTTCTCGTCAGTCCTCAGGGTGCGTGCGTTATAAGTTGCCAGGTCGTCGTAGGTGGCAACCGAAACTCCACCGGAGATTCTTAGCACCCCCTGCCCCGCCGTTACCACGGTCGCCACCGTAGCCAGGAATAGCGGGGCTGCCGGGGACTGGGGACCGTCTCTTTGTTACTCTCATCATTGGGGGGGGGGGGGGTTTGCCATAGTTGCCACGCTTGGCAAGCGGGCAACTATCACAACAACTTTGTTGTTATCAGGAAGATGCTGCTGCCCATCTCCTGCCTGTTTCCCTTTGTCACCTTCTACGACACATGGGACACACGGGAAGACATGGGGTAGTGGATATTCTTAACCGCCACTACACGGCAATAATCTATACAAATAAATAATATTTTTAAAACGAATTCGCTATAGATATATTTTTTCTTTTATTTTGTCAGAATTTTTTTAATTGTAACTAACTAATAAAAAATCCCCATTAGCTGCAATTATTGTTGTATATTTGAGTAATTTGAGTAGTTTAGTTGTAACAACTGTACAAGATCACGTGATCCGCAATGGGAGCGCGAAGAATGACTAAAGACATATCGGCGAGCGTCGCTCTCTGTCAGACTCATTACAACCCGTGGCACATTTTTCTGCTTTCCTCGCAAGATTTATTTAAATATTTTTTAACTATTAACCCCCGGAGAAACTGTCTGCCCTTATCTGATATTTTTTTATTATATATACATAATAAACACGCTGTAAAAATGGCAGATTAAATAATACACTTTTGTTGGAATTTGTTGAAAATATAATTTTGGAGTAGTTTACCCCTTCAAAAGTGTCTGCCATTTTTTTCTTAATTCCATCTTCAAAATTCTTTACCAACATAGCTGACGGATAGTCATTATTATTATTTGAATCACTTTTTTCTACATATCGGCGACCGTCGCTCTCTGTCGCACTCATTACAACCCGTAACACATTTGTCTCCTGTCACCGCAAGATTTATTTAAATACTAGCTGTTTCCCGCGACTTCGCCTGCGTGTAATTTAGGGCTTTTTTGCGCGGAACCCTAATAATTTTTCTAAAATAAAAGTAGCCTAAAATACTCGTTATAACATCAACTATCTGCCAGTGAAAATCCCGTCAAAATCGGTCCTGCCATTTCGGAGAATAGCCGGAACAAACAGACAGACATCCATACAAAAATTTTAAAAATTGTGTTTCTGTTATAAATATCGTATATTATATTACCATATGCGTTTAGTAAAAAATTGTTATTTTCACATTAAAAACAGACATTTAAATTTTATTTATTTGTATAGATTTTTAAATTAGTAACCCCCGGAGAAACTGTCTGACCTTTTGTGAGAATTTTTTATTATATATAATAAACACGCTGTAAAAATGGCAGACTGAATCAAACACTTTTTTTGGAATTTTTGAAAATACAATTTTGGGGTAGTCTGCCCCTATGTAAGCCCCTTCAGAAGTGTCTGCATTTTTTTTCTTAACTGTTTATAAACTTAGCTGACGGATAGTCATTATCATTATTTGAATGAAACACTTTTTTTGGGCAAATTTTTTTGCGACTTACCTGTATGCGCAGTACCAGGTGTGCCAGGCAGACAGTCATATAGCTGCTTATTGAGTCGATTGATACCTTTAAACAAAGTTTCATGATGCATCAAACACTTCATGAAAAATGCGTCATGAGCGCTCGGACCAGTAGTGGATATTCTTACAACGCCACTAAAAGGTGCACGCTACACTACCACATACACTCAGCGTGGCTTCACGTTGTATGTGGTAGAGCCACGCTACAGCTATATTATGGTTGTAGCACGAATACGTCGGCTCGACCGGGAAAGAAACACGTTCTTACAGAATACCAACATGAAATAACAGCTTAACGCTGCTGTGTTTCGCATGGTGAGTGTAGAGAACCGGAGACCCTTTTTGCTGGAAACGAGGCATTCCATTTTAGCCCTCAGGGGTGGCAACGCATCTGACATTTGATTCTTAATTGAGGATGGATGTAGATGTCTATGAGCTACAGCATCCACTTACCATCAGGTGAACTGTGTGCTCTATTGTCACCCTTTTTCTATAAAAAAATACCAATTAATGTACTCCAGACCAAACTAATGAATTTTTGCCTGTTCACCAATGTGCTTAGAACTGTTGGTGAATAACGACATGATGTTGATAAAGAGATACGCTCGGAATTTATCTACAGGATAAATCCGTAACGAAGATATCCGCAGAAGAACAAGAGTAACTGACATAACCCAGTAGATCAGTAAGCTGAAGTGGCAATGGACCGACCATAGAACTCGAAGAACGGACCATCAGTGGGGAAAGGTTCTCGAGTGGCAGCCTTGTACTGGCAGGAGCAGTTAAGCAAGCTCCCACGGTATGACGACCTGATGAAACATGCAGGTAGAAGATAGATACAGGAGGCTCAGGACCACATTTTGTGGCAGTCTTTGAAAAAATTGGTAATTATAATATTAAGGAATTCATGGATAATAAAGCTTGGGAATGACGTGATTTCAGCCAAGCTATTTCTAATTTCTTTTGTGTTATTAATTATTTTGTAACATATTAAATTATTGTAAACTTTTTTTTAATCAAAAATATTCCACAAGGTTTCTTGCTGGTTTTTCTCAGAATAGGAATATTTTACGAATTAGTGGCAAATTAAACATAAAAGTTACTTTAAATAAGTATTATTTATAATCCGTATTGAATAAAGAATTATATTTCTGTCTATGGAGGAGGCCTAAGTTGGTCAGTGGACTTGTGATGAGTCCATCACAAGTCCACCATAGAGAGTGAGTGAGATAATAATAAACGAGTTTAAAGTAGTTCCAAAAGATGCGATCGCTATTGAAATTTCAACATTATTATTACTCTATTCGACATTCACCTCAAATTTTAAATGAAGTAAATTTAAAATGTCATGACTTTTAAACTCTACAACAGTTATCCGTTTAATATTAATAATCATATTATTATATTATCAATTTCTATAGCATAGAAGAGGCAAACGAGCATAATGTTCACCTGATGGTAAATGAGTACCGCCGTCCATGCACTCACGCAAACCCATAGGAATTGCAGGAGCATTGTTGGCTTGTTAAAGGAGTAGACTCTTTTCTTCAAGCACCAAATACGTGGTAGAGCCACGCCGCACCTATAATAAAGTTGTAACACGAATGACATAGTAGGAAGTCGATGGAGGCAGGTGACTCAGTTTTTGCTCACTGTGCATTGTGGCATTCCTTGGGAGAGACTTATCTTCAGCAGTGAACTTGTAAAAGGATTTTGTGATGATGGTAATGATGACTATAATGATATATCTAGGCCATCTGATTTGGATATTTTCAATGATAATTTAAATAATTTCAGAAGAAAAAGAAGAAGAAAAAGGTTACCTTATTTATTTATTTAGAATCTAAATTTCAGATGATAAATGTAAACATTTTTAATTTCTCGTAAATACGCCATTTTACTACTGTACTGTATTAAATTTTACGTTATTTAACTTTTCACAACATTACTCTATGTTAGCTGTGGTTGCCTATCACTGGGTGAGCACATTGCATGTTTCTCACAATGTTTCTATCTTGTTTTTAGTTTTTGTGTATCATCTGTCGGTAACTCTTATAAATAAATAAATGACAAATAGGTCGGCTCGACCGGGGAAATACTACGCAATCACAAACTACCAGCGTTAAATAGCAGTTAGCAGCTTAATTATGATGTGTTTTGTACGGTGAGTGTAGAGAACAGGAGACTCTTTTTAACTAAAAACGAGACATTCCATCTTAGTCTTCAGGGGTAAAAGCACATCTACATTATGACCCTTATCTGAAGATAGCTAAAGATGTCTATGGGTCACAGCGTCTACCTAGCAGGAGGACTTTTTTTATAGAATAAGGGTGAGAATCGAGTACAGATACCACCTGATGGTAAGTGGCATCTTCATTGCCATAAAAATACCCACTTACCACCAAGCAGTGTGGTAATCAGGCGCTGTCTTACCATAAAAGTAAAGAAAGACATTTCCTCTCCAACAACTCGTAAACATAAAAAATATTTAATCGTTTTTCGTTTTTACTCCTTGCCGTAATATAAGGAAAAAGATTCTTAAAAATTTCACAGTCAATGCTTTATACCTACACTTATATTGAATATTATTATCATGTTTGTTTTATTTTGGCAAGGCAGGCAAATGCTTTGGAACATACAGCTTCATAGTTATGCAATAGATATTTCTTCTTTCTTTTTATATAGGCAGTATAAATACAAAACAATGATTTTAAAGTCACCTTCGGTAAAAATGTGGTTTACGTAAAATAAACAAATGGCACCTAATATTTATCTTTATTATTATCTCCTGAATTATGGAAGTCATTTATCAGATCTACTTTAAATCGAAAATTGTATGCGATTACTACAGACATCATTATATATTATATGATGTCTCAGGCAATTACATACTTTTGAGAGATAATTTGAAAATCGTGACGGAATACGTTATAAAGCAAATGACCGGCAACTATAATAAGTAGAACCGTCAAAACTTGAAATAATTCGACATTCAGTGTCGGATGCACTGGCATGACTGTCTGTGTGAACATTGTTATCAAGGACAGTTCAGGATTCCACGCAGGGTAGGGGCGAAGAACTATCAAATGATACCATCTCCGGGCAACCAGTCTTGCGTTTGGCGTTGGGTGTTACAGACGCGCGCGAATAAAGTAACAAAACGAATGAAACACTTCGAGTAAATAATTCTATTATGTGACATTTAGTGCTGCGCCCTAATTTTAAATTTACCGGTTATAATCGATTTCAGGAATTTAACTATCGATTATAATACAAGTTAACGAAAGGTGAATCTTAAGTGAATGTGCAGTCTCATCTAACTATAATCGTAAATGTCAATCGGCTCATTAAATTATACGGCTACTGAATAAATGTTTATATTTGCGCATTTATAATTGTATTTTAACATATTGAAATTAAAACATATAAATCATTAAGGATTGTTATTATCAAAAATAAGGTTAAACTTGGCAAATTATGAATGAGTTAGATTGGTTAAGAATTTTAATTTTGTAATTGATTATAACTGTTGATCTATTTTACTGTTTCCTATTAATAATTTTATGGTACATGCAAATATATGCTAATTTGGAATATATATGCATATATGTTTACATTTTATTAAACAGTTTAAAAAATTGTGCTCATTGTTTTCCAAGTACGTAAAATCAATAAATGAACATTTTGAATCAAGTGAAATACATCTGTATTGTTTTTGATATTTCAAAAATATTTAAGTACCGAGTTTTGAATACTGTTCACGTTATACTTTATATAATAATACAATACTTAGTGTTTTTAAAGCCCAGGCTAAGGTTGTGTTCCAAGTAACATAACATTTAAATTTTATGAATAAAACATATCTGCAGATAATGATATTTTGAAAACTGTGTATTAGAATGTGTACTCAAGCAAGTGTCAACATGGATTTCAAACAAATTTCGTTGGTGTGCGTTATATTAGCATGCATTTACGTCACATCTGCTCAGGTGAGTGATTGTTTTTAATACTGTCTAATTAGGTTAGTGTACCCTTATTGTTTTCAAAGGTAAAATAGGTTATCATAAGGTTGAGATTGTATAGGATATGAACGTAATATACGAGTAAGTATTTCACCATATTTTAGGCGGTAACTGTAGCCCATGGACACCTACAACAATCTCTAACCAAATAATTTAAAATTAAAAATTTTGTACAGCCGACTTCAATATAAGTTATTTAAGAATAACTCAAAAACTATTGGTCTGACCTTGATCAAATTCATATGGGACCACGAGAACTATCAGCTTTCATATAAAAAAAGAATCATTCAAATCGGTTCACCCAATACAAAGTTATGAGGTAACACACATAAAAAAAAACATACTGTCGAATTGAGTACCGTCTCCTTTTTGGAAGTCGGCATAAAAGGTATCAGGGGCGTTAATGCATTAATGACAACGCATCTGTTGTTCGTTGTTATGTGTCGTCGTTAACTGCTACGTGGTGGTAGAATGGAGACAGTTATACTGAACCAAATTGACTCCACACAAAAGTGATGATAGGACCCTACAACCTTTCAAATACGAGTATAACTATTCTGGTTACGATACTGTAAACACGCTAATGATAAGTGGAAAATCCTTTTTTTTATAGAAATTTTTTTTTATAGAATAAGGGTGACAAACGAGCACACAGTCCACCTGCTGGTAAGTGGTTGCTGTGGCGTGTGTGTGTTCGTTTGCGAATTAAAATGCAGATGCGTTGTCACCCGTTAGGGCTAAGATAGAATGCCTCTTTTCCAGTAAAAAGGGTCTCCGGTTCTCTACACTCACCATACGAAACACAGCAGCATTAATCTGCTATTTTACGCTGGTATTCTGTGAGAGCGTGGTCCTTCCCTGGTCATCTATACCACTAATATAGTTGCAGCATGGCTCTACCACATTTTGTATGTTATGTAGAGAATCGGAAATATCGTTTATTTTGCGATTATATTCCTTGTCTAATTTGTTCAAACTTTACCTATATCTAATCATGGAGTTTTTCGTAATATTTCGTTGTCTGCGAGGCTTTATAAGAAACACTCTGGTCCCAACCTACTCATGTTTTTATATGTGTTTAGTGATACTGGTCTCTCGACTCCACAGAGTCAGTAACTCATTCTTGGGGCATTGTATATGCTATTACAACAAAGTCCCAGAAAATATACCAAGTTTAAATATTCAATTGAACAAAGGCTGTATAAAAGGGGTTATCTTTATATATAAAAATTACGTGTCACGTTGTTTGTCCGTGATGAACTCCTAAACTATTGAACTGATTTCAATGAAATTTTGTACAATGTGTGCAGTTTGGTCCAACTTGAGAGATAGGATAGTTTTTACCCCGATAAATGACCTTCAAAATTTTTTATTGCGAATTTAAGGATTTTTTCATAGGACGAGTCGTCGGAAAGGGCAGAACAAAGTCTGCCTGGCCAGCTAGTTATAATATAAATGAATACACAAGGTTGATAATAACTAATAATAAATAGTTTGTAATAATTTATATTGTAAAATTTATTTTAAAAAACGAATCCCGCTGGGTTTCTTGCTGGTTCTTCCCAGGACAGAGTATGTTTTTCGAACCAGTGCAGTGGTAAAGTAAAAAAATAACTTTCAATAAGAATTACTTATAATCAATCATCATCATCATCATTTCATCATTACAGCCCTTCACAAGTCCACTGCTGAACAAAGGCCTCCCCCAAAGAATGCCACAAAGCACGGTCCTGAGCCACCTGCATCCATCGACTTCCTGCATGTCTTACCAGGTCGTCACTCCATCTAGTAGGGGGACGCCCTACACTTCGCCTACCGGTACGAGGCCGCCACTCGAGAACCTTTCTTCCCCATCGGTTGTCGGTTCTTCGAGCTATATGGCCGGCCCACTGCCACTTCAGCTTACTAATCCGTTGGGCCACGTCGGCTACTCTGGTTCTACTGCGGATATCCTCATTCCTAAGTTTATCACGCCGAGAAACTCCGAGCATAGCCCTCTCCATAGCTCGCTGAGCGACCTTAAGCTTTCTCATACGGCCAGCAGTGAAGGACCACGTCTCAGTTCCGTAAGTCATGACTGGCAACACGCACTGGTTGTACAATTTCGTTTTAAGGTTTTGAGGTATGTCTGACGAGAAGATGTGTCGTAGCTTTCCGAACGCTGCTCAGCCGAGTTGAATCCGTCGATTGACCTCTCGGTCGAAATTGGACTTACCTAGTCGGACTATTTGTCCCAGGTAAACATACTTCTACAACTTCGAGCTTAGTGTTCCCAACAACTACCGGCATAGGTGTGACATGGACATTAAAAATGATCTTTGTTTTGTCCATGTTCATCTTAAGACCTATCCGTTGGGAAACACTATTGAGGTCATTGAGCATAGTGCTTAGGTCCTCCAGCGATTCTACCATAAGGACTATATCGTCGGCAAATCGAAGGTGAGTGATGTACTCGCCATTGATGTTGATACCTATCCTTTCCAGTCCAGAAGCTTGAAAACGTCTTCCAATGCAGCGGTGAAGAGTTTCGGGGGTATGACGTCACCTTGTCTTACACCTCTCTGCAATTGGATAGGTTTCGTACTCTGATTCTGTACTCGGATAGCCGTCGTAGCTCTACTGTACAAACACTTCAACACCTCGATATACCGACAGTCAACTTGGCAGCGCTGAAGGGACTGCAGCACCGCCCAAATTTCGACGGAATCAAAGGCTTTCTCATAGTCCACATACGCCAGACATAGTGGCAAATTGTACTCTTCGGACTTCTGTACAATTTGCCGAAGGGTATGTATGTGGTCTATGGTGCTAAAGCCCTTTCGGAAACCGGCTTGTTCGGGAGGCTGGAAGTCGTCAAGTTTCCGCGCGAGACGATTCGTAATGACTCTCGAAAATAGCACGTAGACGCGGCTCAGAAGGGAAATCGGTCTGTAGTTCTTCAAGAGAGCGTTGTCACCTTTCTTAAAGAACAAGACCACCGCACTTCTGCTCCACGCCTCCGGTGTAATGCCACCATGGAGGACGGAATTAAAGAGCTTCTGAAGGACTTCAAGTACCGTTTTTCCACCCGCTTTCAGAAGCTCCGCTGTAATTCCATCCTCGCCTGGGGCGGAAACGATGCTGCCACATTCTGTCTTCAGCCTTGACAGTTGGCTCTTTCTGGCAGACAGATCCTGGCAAAGACTTTGGAGCCTTGGTTCCGCTCGATCGCTTCTTCAATACGAGCTGTATTGAAGTTGCGTAAGTCCCGCCGCATGCATTTGGAGATGCATGCATTTATAATCAATATTGAATAAAAATTATTCTATTCTATTCTGTGAGAGGGGGTAAACGAGCATGCGGCTCACCTGATGTGACTACTGCCGCCCATGAACAACTGCAGCACCAGAGGAATTGCAGTTGCATTGCCGGCCTTTTAAAAAAGAGTAATCTCTTCTTGAAGGTCCCTAAGATCGTATGTGATGTATGACAATTGTGTGACTTAGTAGCCGGAATATCTGATAGCGTTGCTATTTCCAATCCCAGGTAGAGACAATATTCGTGCAAATATACAAATTGTTAGTTTTTGGGTCTGGTTGCGGAAGTTGTACCTGCCCCTCTGCAGTGATTGTACCTGTCTCTTTGACACCACACCTTAACCTTATTAGCCTTAGACTTAGCCCTAAAGTTTACGCGAAACCATAAATAATAAATAAGTCAAGTACCAGCCACAAGAATACCAAGGTTATCGACATAGCCTTACGTATTTGCAAGCTGAAGTAGCAATAGGCTAGTCACATCTGTAGAAGCGATAACCGTTAGAATAGACGTGTCATAGAGTGCAGACCCGTAAACGTTTTGTACGTAGTAGAGCCATGCTGCAGCTATATTAGTAGTATAGTTGTAGCACGAATGGGTCAGCTCGACCGGGGAAGGACCGCGCTCTCACAAAATACCAGCGTAAAATAGCAGGTACTGCTGTGTTTCGTATGGTGAGTGTAGAGAACTGGAGACCCTTTTTACTGGAAACGAGGCATTCCATCTTAGTCCTCACGGGTGACAACTATCTGCATTTTGATTCTTTATTGAGGTTAGATGTGGATGTCTATGGGTCACAGCAACCACTTACCACCAGGTGGACTGTATGCTCGTTTCTCACCCTATCCTATATAAAAAAACACTGCCATCTTGCTGACTCTGGGCAGCTACAGAGTATTTTTTGACGGAAAACCCCAATAACTAATGTTTTAGCATGACTTGTGATTCGAACCCGGGACCTCGTGATCAGCAGTCATGCTTACCACCACTAGAGCAACGAGGCAGTCATAAACATTATAGTAACTGCGCGGTATAGACCAGTATCATGATATATTAGACAACGAAAATTATTTTAGATGTAGACAAAGACAACTAACTATAATAATGGGACGCGGATTTTTCGTTGTACTGTATTTGGCTGATTTTAATATCAATATATAGGACATTAAGAAAAAGATCCCGTCATTTTTCAATTGTTTTTCTGTCCGCCAAAATGAGTGAATCTAATGCCTCCTCTACACTACTCGCGAAGTTACCTCTATGAATTGCTCGTCAAAGTCAATCGCAGTCCGAAGAACGTGACTATACACTTATGCAACTTCACGAAGAGCTCAGTCGCCTTGAGTCGCCCGCACCCTTAACATGAATAACGTTTAAGAGGCAGCTCCTATAGGAACCTAATTATGTGAACAGTACGACGTCAATGCGTTAACTATAGATAAATAAATATGTAGCAAGCAACATATTTAATATTTATATGTAAAAAATTAATATAATACAACTGGCGTACGCCGAGTAGTGTAGTGATACGCTTCTTGTAACATCGGGGCACCTCGCGAAGTCCTTTGACTTAGGCGCAAAAAACCGACAGCGATCGGAAGTTGTGCGAGGCGAAGCACGGTAGCACGAAGCGAATCAAAGTACCTCTCTACACTATTCACTTCACCTTT